CCTGGGGCCTCCAAACTGGAATCTGGGTGAGTGTGATATCTTTTATAGATGGAGGCACAGTGAGTTTGAAATCACCAGGAGCGTAGGTATTTTCTGAGATGCTTGGAACTGTGATATAGGGGTGTCTGAGGCTTCTGGGGATAATGACCTAGAGTCTGGGTGAACCTGAGATCTCTGATGGCTGGGTATCTTGAGACATGCCCCCAAGTGCAGGTGGTCAAAAAGAGAGTATAGTTCTATGTATCCCAGAGGAGACTGAGGTCTAGAATGGTCTCCCTGACCTGGTCCCCACAGAGCTTGGCAGAGCTGAGAGATCAGCGACATGGGGAACGCCTGGAACATGCGGCAGCTCTGCGAGCCCTACAAGATCAGGTACATCATTCTGGTGGGCTCAGGGAGATGGGGGATGAAGGCAGGGCAGTTACACAAGTGTATATTGTAAAGGCAAGCAAGGCCCCAGGCATCCTACTTTCCCTGATTGTGGTTCCTGTGTGTGTGTGTCCGTCTGTCCGTGTCCTTTCTTGGCTGTCCTGTTCTGGACCCACTCTCACCTGTTGTGGGGGTGGAGCCAGGTGTCCATCCAGAGTGCAGACGCGCAGGAACAAGTAGAAGGACTTTTGGCTGAGAACAATGCCTTGAGGACTAGCCTTGCTGCCCTGGAGCAGGTACAGGACACTTGGGAGCCCTTGCTGATCCCTCCTCAGTTCCCCATCTCCCTGTGCTTCTGATTCATATTGGGGCAGTGTAGTCCTGACCTCATGCTGTTCTCCTACCTCTATTTCTGTTTCATTCTCAGCTTCTTTCTGTTGGCTTCCACCTCTCTTCTCTTTGACCATCCACCCCTGCTGCTTTTGCATTCTAGTTTCTCTCCAGTAAAGTGCAAGAGATGGACTAGTCTTAAGTGTACACTGTAAATCATCTCTGTCTGTCTGTTTATCTATCTCCATGTACCCACCACCCAGATCAAAACACAGAGCATTTATTTTCTGCACCCCAGAGATCCCTTCTACCCTTTCCCAATCCATACTTCCCCCGAAGTAACCACCCCTCCGACCTCTTCTAACATAGGTTTGTTTGTCCTTTAACTTTGTGTAAATGGAATCAGACACCCATTTTTGTGTCTGGCTCCATCCTGTCGCATTATATCTGTGAGGTTTATTCATATGTAACACTGGTTTGTTCTTTTATCTCTGTGTAGTATCCCATTGTATGAATGTACCATGTTTATCCATTCCCCTGTTGATCTTTCTCCCACTGTTTTCCTCTTTGAAATTCTTCCTCTCTCCTCCTGGCTCTCTTTCCACTTCTCTCACTGTCTCTCTGAAACTGGGAGGCTCACACCCTGTGACTGGCCCCCAACAGCCCCTTTCACTCCACTTCCCATCAACACTACTTTCTCTAGATCCAAACAGCAAAGACCCAAGAACTGAATATGCTCCGGGAACAGACTGCTCAACTGACAGCTGAGCTGCAGCAGCGGCAGACTGAGTATGAGCACCTCATGGGACAGAGAGATGACCTCAACTCCCAGCTTCAGGTGACATCTCTGGCTGTGACCTGCCTTCTCCTAGTTCCCTAGAATTGGCTCAGTGGAGTTTGCAATGAGGTGCAGTGGGAAGACTGTACAGTCAGGAAGACCTGGTTTCCAGTGTGGCTCTCTAACATACTAGCGCGTGTGTGTCCTAGATCAAGTTGTTTCACTTCTCTGAGACTTAGCATCTTCAGTGTAGTTAGGAGAGCCATTCTGATTCCATAATTGACAGTAAAATAATAGTGATTCTACTGAATAAGAGAGAAGTTTAGTTCTCTCTTATGTAAAAGTCTAGGTAGGTTGCCCAGGGATGGGACAGTGGCTTCTGATCTATCACCAGTGACTCAGATTCTTTCTACATTGCTGTTCTGCCACCTTCAACATAAGACTATCTTGGCATAAAAGATGCTTGCTCAGGGAGGAAAAGACCTAGCATGCTCCTTTCCTTTACAACCTGTATTATACTCACCACTTTTAATTCCGCACCTCACTGGGGGCAGTGGGGGAGGCAGGGAAACATCAGCTAAACCACCATGTGCCCAACCACAAAGTCTGTTGCTAAGGAAAGAAGGGAGAATGTATCCTGGAGAGCAGCTAGCAGTCACTGCCATGTTTCTCATGTAGAAATGCAGAGGACAATACCCACTTTAAAGGATTTAGAGAGACAGTCTACTGGAAGTGTCCTGGATGACCAGCACCTCTTGTGGGCTCTTTATCAAAGTCACTCCCTTTGTCCCTGCATTAGGAATCATTACGGGCCAATGGTCGGCTGCTGGAACAACTTCAAGAAATCGGGCAGGAGAAGGAACAATTGACCCAGCAACTTCAGGAGGCTCGGAAGGTGGGCAGCTCTGGGAAGGCTGCAAGGGGAGGGATTGGCCTGGTTCACAGGGATGGGGCAGGTGATGTGGCCCAATCCACGGGAAAAGGAAGGGACAGAAAGTTACCAATTCCATAAGGATGGGTGAGTAACAGCCGGTTCTGTGGGGATGGGGAAGAGGTGGAGTTTGGCTCATTCTTTGGGCCTGAGGAGAAGGTTGTGGGCCTTCTTTGGCCTTGTGGGAGGATGTTGACTGACATCCTCCTGCCCCACCTTCCTGGCCCTCAGAGTGCTGAGAAGCGGAAGGCCATGCTAGATGAGCTAGCAATGGAGACACTGCAGGAGAAGTCCCAGCACAAGGAGGAGCTAGGGGCTCTCCGACTTCGGCATGAGAAGGAGGTGCTGGGGGTGCGTGCCCGCTATGAGCGCGAGCTCCGTGAGCTACATGAAGACAAGAAGCGGCAGGAGGAGGAGCTCCGTGGCCAGATCCGTGAGGAGAAGGTGGGTGGTTAAATGATGATGCACGTCTGCCTCTCAAACAGGAGGAGCACAGCACTGCTGATGGGCCAGGGGATGGCATGGGAGAGGTGCCCGCTCCTCCACCTGCCTGGCCCAAGACAGTCTGCCTTCTCCCAGGCCCGAACACGGGAGCTGGAGAATCTCCAGCAGACAGTGGAAGAACTTCAAGCTCAGGTACACTCTATGGATGGAGCCAAGGGCTGGTTTGAACGGCGCTTGAAGGAGGCTGAGGTGAGTTGGTGCCTGGTGAGGCACAGGGGCTGGTTGGAGGACATGCCAAACCAGGGGACAAGGAGTGGTCAGGCCCTGGAACTTCCTGAGATGCCCTGGACTTGGGTATCCCCACAGCCTCCCTGGCTCACTAGCAGCCCTGTGGAGGGGATCAGGGGATGGCCATCAATAAGGCAGAAGGTGAGATCTGTATATTTAAAAAGGTACCTCTTCCTTCTGAAATTGTACTTCTGTCAGGAAGTGATTGTAACATACTCATTTTGTTCGAACACAAACTTTTACTGCCATTTTCTGGAAAACTCATCATAATACGTGAGAGGCAGTGTCACATAGCCATGAGGAGCAAAGATGCTGGAGCCATTCATTTGCCTGGGTTTGAGTCCTGCCCAGGTCACTCTCTCGATGTGTGACCTTGGCCAAGTTACCTGACCTTTTTGTGGCTTGTATTCGTCATCAGTAAAAAAGGATGACAATAATACCTACTGCCTAAGTATTATGGGGGATATGCAAAATAAGTTAATTTATGTACAATCCATATAACATTCCTGGCCTGCAGTAAATGCTGTTATGTTTCATTAAATAAAATGTAAATGCAAATATCAATCTTGAATGTGAACACAGCTCTAGAGACACTTCTATGTATTGCTTAAAGGCAACCAGTGTTCCCTGCAGGAGTGTCTTCTCTGCATACCTGGGGACCCCCTGCTGCAGGCCCTCACACCTCTCACTGGGCATAATGGCCTCTGGGGTGCCATGGCCAGACCTGGGACTTGTCTTGTAGGAATCTCTGCAGCAGCAGCAGCAGGAACAAGAGGAAGCCCTGAAGCAGTGTCAGGAGCAGCATGCTAGTGAGCTGAAGGTGCCTGTTGCATGGTAGCATTCTTCTCCAGGGAGGGAGAGGTTCTGGTGTAAGGACTGTCTCCCAAGTTGAGGCCTGAGCTGCCCTTTGTTTCCAGAGCAAGGAGGAGGAGTTACAGAGTGTTCTGGATCAGCTTCAGCAGGCCCAGGAGGAGCGTGACTGCCACCTGAAGACCATCAGCAGCCTGAAGCAGGTTATTGCTTCCTCCATGGTCCCCAGACACACTCTAGACCTCAGCTTGCAGTAATGGGGCAGGGAGGGAGCACAGTGCATGCAGCCATTCCCGTGCCCACCAGCCATGCTCTCTCTCTCACGCAGGAGGTGAAGGACACAGTAGATGGGCAGCGAATCCTGGAGAAGAAAGGCAGTGCCGCGGTACGATGGGGAGATGTTGCAGCACAGCCCCCTCCTGCCGTGCATCCCTCCACCTGTGACCCCACTGGACCTCAGCTCCCATCTTTCCTCCTGTTCCCCCAAAGCTTAAGGACCTCAAGCGGCAGCTGCATCTGGAGAGGAAACGGGCGGATAAGCTGCAGGAGCGGCTGCAAGACATCCTCACCAACAGCAAGAGCCGCTCTGGTGAGGGACGTGGACCCCTGGAGGCTGAGGCCCAGGGAGGCAGGGCTTGGGCCAGAAGGCCAGAGCTGCTGCTTGTACCTCATTCCACCCGCTCTTCTGAGTCTTCTGTCCCTCTTGAACTTGGTCTGTTTTCCCTTTTTTCTGTGTCTCCATCTCCTTTTTCTGTGTCTCTTCTGTTTCTGTCTCTGCATCTTCGTGTCATCTCTCTCTGTATCTGTCTTTCCCTCCCCTGCTTTTTCTAGTTCTCTCCTTTTTTCCTCCCACCTTTTTTTTTTTTTTTAATATATCTTTATTGATTTCAGAGAGAGGAAAGGAAAGGGAGAGAGAGAGATAGAAACATCAATGATGAGAGAGTCATTGATNTGCTAGTGAGCTGAAGGTGCCTGTTGCATGGTAGCATTCTTCTCCAGGGAGGGAGAGGTTCTGGTGTAAGGACTGTCTCCCAAGTTGAGGCCTGAGCTGCCCTTTGTTTCCAGAGCAAGGAGGAGGAGTTACAGAGTGTTCTGGATCAGCTTCAGCAGGCCCAGGAGGAGCGTGACTGCCACCTGAAGACCATCAGCAGCCTGAAGCAGGTTATTGCTTCCTCCATGGTCCCCAGACACACTCTAGACCTCAGCTTGCAGTAATGGGGCAGGGAGGGAGCACAGTGCATGCAGCCATTCCCGTGCCCACCAGCCATGCTCTCTCTCTCACGCAGGAGGTGAAGGACACAGTAGATGGGCAGCGAATCCTGGAGAAGAAAGGCAGTGCCGCGGTACGATGGGGAGATGTTGCAGCACAGCCCCCTCCTGCCGTGCATCCCTCCACCTGTGACCCCACTGGACCTCAGCTCCCATCTTTCCTCCTGTTCCCCCAAAGCTTAAGGACCTCAAGCGGCAGCTGCATCTGGAGAGGAAACGGGCGGATAAGCTGCAGGAGCGGCTGCAAGACATCCTCACCAACAGCAAGAGCCGCTCTGGTGAGGGACGTGGACCCCTGGAGGCTGAGGCCCAGGGAGGCAGGGCTTGGGCCAGAAGGCCAGAGCTGCTGCTTGTACCTCATTCCACCCGCTCTTCTGAGTCTTCTGTCCCTCTTGAACTTGGTCTGTTTTCCCTTTTTTCTGTGTCTCCATCTCCTTTTTCTGTGTCTCTTCTGTTTCTGTCTCTGCATCTTCGTGTCATCTCTCTCTGTATCTGTCTTTCCCTCCCCTGCTTTTTCTAGTTCTCTCCTTTTTTCCTCCCACCTTTTTTTTTTTTTTTAATATATCTTTATTGATTTCAGAGAGAGGAAAGGAAAGGGAGAGAGAGAGATAGAAACATCAATGATGAGAGAGTCATTGATTGGCTGCCTCCTGCACGCCCCCAGCTGGGGATCAAGCCCACAACCTGGGCATGTGCCCTGACCAGGAATCGAACCCCAATCGCCTGGATCCTAGGTCGATGCTCAACCGCTGAGCCACACCCGGCCGGGCGCTCCCGCCTTTTTTTCTCTCTCCTTTTATCTTTTTGTCTCTCTGTCTCTCTGCTCTTCCTGTCTTTTGTCTGTCTATATCTCTGTCTTGTCTCCCCACTACCCCCACATGCACACTTCCATACCTCACCCAGTGTCTCTAAATCTCTTGTATCCATCCTCATCTATAAATATGGACTGAGCCCCCACGCTCATGTGCAGAGTCCCTGATGGGAAAGCCTCCAAGCCTCGTTCCGCCTGGGACTCCAAGCTGAGCTAGGGGGACAGACTTAACAATCAGGCAGCGGCACTGTGGTGTGATCATTATGCAGCTAAAGTTCATGTTATTTCTGACACTTAAGCCAGAAGATGCATCAACAACAACAAATTGAGTTGCTTTGGACTTTTTTAAAGAAAGAAATGGCCTATAAATACGTTTAAGTAGATAAGATGCATTGACGTCTCTGGTGCATCTCTCATATTACAGGCTCAGAGAAAACTTGCTTCCTGTCCCCCCACAGCCACCCTGCTCTTGCTGGAGATCCTGGGGTATGACGTCAGCCCCCCATCCTGATACCTTGAAGCAGCTGTAGGAGCAGAGGCCTAAGCACAGTGGCCATGTTTTAAGTGACGTAGCAAAAATGAATGTATTTCTCACTAAATCAGTGTCTCTCCGAGACTCTCTGTCTCCTGAAGTAACCTCTTTTTATAGAAGAGGAATTTGGTTTCTGTTTTGTTACAGATTAATGTATGAATCAACAAACACATTCCAATTCTGTGCCATATAATCTTCTTGTATGTTAGATGGAATTCAGATTTAGGTGCCTGGCTATGGGAGTTATCTCCATATTTTCCTCTGTCTCTGGTCTGACTCATGTCCTTATCCAGGGTCTGTGCCTCTGTCATCTGCTCCAGCTTGCTGTCTCTCTGAGGTTTTCTCTCTGCATGTGGTGGTTCCCCTGTGCCCTCTCGAGCTGTCTGTACCTTGAGCCTGAACGCATATGCTACTTTTATGCCTGTGTGTCCACATCACCATCTTACCTTTGTTTCTGTTGTGTGTGAGTTTGCCTAGAGAGGCAGCTCCTTTTTCCGATTCTGCCTCTCCCTATCCTTCTGTCTGCCCGTGTCTTTTTACCTTTTTCCATCTCTGTCAAATCTATTTCTGCCTCTTCCTGCCAGTCGCTGCCCTGGGAGCCTGGGGGATTGGAGCTCAGGTTTCTCTTCCCTCTCTGCCTAGGCCTTGAGGAGCTGGTTCTTTCAGAGATGAACTCACCAAGCCGTACCCAGACTGGGGACAGCAGTAGTGTCTCCTCCTTCAGCTACCGGGAGATCTTGCGGGAAAAGGAGAGCTCGACCATTCCAGCTAGGGTAAGGGGCAAGGAAGAACCTACAGCTCTAGCTTCTCCCCAAATTCTGGGGCCCTCCGTTTTCCCACCACTGCAACCATCTGTTACTCTGGGCCCAACACACACATTTCCTTGTCAACTTTTCCCCAAGCTCCCCAACTTAGATTCAGATTGCTAAGTAGGGGATGGGCAAATTATTCTAATACTTTCTGTTTTATCATTTCTGGACCAATTCTGCCTTTCCTGGTGCCATAAAATAAGTGGTTCATAGTAGGCGCATCATCCATGTAAGAAATCCTTTGTCCCAACTCATAATTATCACTTGTTACTGTTTCCTATTATGTCAGCTTCTTTGCCAGCTACTTTTTTTTTTTTTATTCCATATGTGTGCATTGTAGAAAAATTTTAAAAACACAAAAGCAATTTTAAAAAAAAAATCCAAAGCAATCACACTTTCATCCAGAGAGCACTACTGTAAATCCTTAGTTCATACCCTTCCAGGCCTCTTTCTCTTTTTTCAACCTAAATAAGATGATAAGCAACCTGTTTTTGTTCAGCTGATCTCTACCCTCCGTATTTGGTAAATTTCTCATCTTACCTAATACTTTGACCTTAATCACATTTCTCTAGTTGGCCACAAAATGTCCTTTATTACTGGTTTTCTGTAAACCAGCATTCCGTTTCAGAGCACATGTTGCATCTGGTTGCTTTATGTGCCTTAAGTCTCTTGAATCTAGTGTGGTCATTTTTTATCATAACACCAACCTGTAGAAAAAGACCAGCCCAGCTGACCTGCAGATAGTGTTCTGCCTTTCAGATTTTCCTGCTGGCTTTCTAGTGGTATCATTTAGCTGGTTCCTCTCTCCCCTAGTTTTCCTGTCAGCTGGAATTTAGGTCAAATGTGCTACAGGTTCTCCCTTCATGCTCTCCATAAGGCTATGATGTGGTGGTTCCTGTCTTCCCCTTTAGACAAACGGGGATCCAGAGTCTCTGAGGATAATGAGACTTGCCTACAGCCCTGGATGCAGAACCCACCATGCCCCCCACACCCTGGCTTGGTTCGAATTCTCAGCCCTAGTCCTGTCTGGGGTGTGGCACTGAGCCCAGGCTGGGCCTTCCCCTCCTCTTCCCTTCAGTCCTTATCCAGCAGCCCTCAGGCCCAGCCCCCGAGGCCAGCAGAACTGTCAGATGAGGAAGTGGCTGAGCTTTTTCAGCGCCTGGCAGAAACACAGCAGGAGAAATGGATGCTGGAGGAGAAGGTGCTGTCTGCCCGCTTGCCCTTACATGGCCAGAGGCCAGGGTGGGGTTGGTTGATGTTTGGCCGGCCCCTCCTCGTGTGTGAACTTGCACAGTTGAGGGATCTGAAGTGGGCTGGGTGACCCCACAGGTGAAGCACCTGGAGGTGAGCAGCGCCTCCATGGCAGAGGACCTCTGCCGGAAGAGTGCCATCATTGAGACCTACGTCATGGACAGCCGGATCGGTCAGTGCTCCCTCCCCAGCCATCACTGCTCATCCAGCCTCTCCCCTGCTCCCTCCTTCCCTACTGTCCAGTGCTGAGGCTTCTCTCCTCTCCTCTTGGGACTCAGCAGTCACTGATGAGACCACAGCTGGCTAAGGGGAGAGCAGGGCAGGCCTGTACCTGTTCTGTCTTATCTTGCTCGGCTCCTCCCTCTTCTCAGGGTCTCTGTCATCCCTCCGTTCTCCTTTCTCTAGTGTGTCTCTATGCCTTCTTTCTCCTTTCTTCCCCTGTGTTTCTCCCTCTTCTCTCTCTCCCTTCTCTCGTCTCCCTGTCTCTTTCTGCCCCATTCACCCTTCATCTGGTCACACTGTTCCTATGTATATTGTTCCATCTCCAGAAATTCTCTTTCTCTTATGGGTATCCCTTTGGGGTCCTTATCTCTCCCTCACCTTTATCCTTCCTCTCTCCTCTTCCTCCCCTCTTCTCTCTCCTCTTCCTTCCCCTCTCTTTTGCTCCTTTCTTTCAAACCTTCTCTCCAGTTTTTCCTTATGAGTCAGGATGATACTGACTGACGTGCTGAGAGCTGACTGTGCTCTGTGCTTTACATGTGGTCATATACATTTTTCCAGCTCCATGAGTTAGTTATTATCCCCATTCTCAAGGCTGCACAGTTAGAGACAGCCAGGGTCCACATGGCTAACCCTCTGCCCCCTACATAATATGGCTTGTCCCCTGCTTTTCTCCCTCGCTGTTTCCCTCTTTTTTGCACTGTCTCCGGCCATCTCTCCTCTGGCTCTACTGAGGGGGCAGCTCTCAGCCTACGCCCTTGCAGATGTGTCTGTGGCAGCAGGCCACACAGATCGCAGCGGGCTGGGCAGTGTCCTGAGAGACCTAGTGAAGCCAGGTGACGAGAACCTTCGGGAGATGAACAAGAAGCTACAGAACATGTTGGAGGAGCAGCTCACCAAGAATATGCACCTGCATAAGGCGAGTGTGACCTACCAGCCTGCCCATCTGTCCATGCAGCCACCTAGGTCACCTGTCACACAGCCCCAAGGTCATCTGCCAGTCCCCCGTGTCCACCCATCCCATTCACCTACCATTCCTTCATCCTCATCTTCCCATCCTCCCGTCAACTTACTATTGTCAGTTTAGTTGTTCACTCACCCCTCCGTCCTTGCATCCATCCACTCATCCAGTCATACACATAGTCACCCAACTCTCCCATCGACCCACCCTATTATTTGTCCCTCTGCCCTCTACCCATCTAATCATGTCTTTCCACAAATTTCCTGGCCTACAGCTCTCTTTCTTACCTACTCATCAATCATCCCTTGTCTTAGCTTTTACCCACGCACCCAGCAACCTGACTGCCTACCTGTTGTCCTCCATCTGTCCTCTGAATAGTTCATTTGTCCACCTGTTTGCCTACTGTGGATTCCCCGTGTGTCTACCTACACGTCCACTTGCCCATCCTACCACCCAAATATTTTCTCCATCTCCGGGGGAGTCAAAAGGAATGCAGACCTGGCACCTGCTTCTGAGAAGCAAGCTCACCATTTACTAGAAAGAAGGTGACGAGGGCGGGGGTCATATCCTCCAGTACACCATGCACAGCAGGTGACCCACTCCCATATCCATATCCCAGCTCCAGAGGCTTCCACATCCTCACACATCTACATTTCCTGAGCCCAGCCCACTGCTGGGGGCTCTTGAACTTCTCCAAACACCTTTCTGTCCTAGGCTAGACTTACTTGGGCATTTATTAATGAGGTGAGAAGGATGATACCCTGGGCTTGGTGAAGGAGCTTCCCCTGCCACCTTCTCTGGCCCCTGATGGCTTGTTTGTTTCTTAGGACATGGAAGTTCTGTCCCAGGAAATTGTGCGGCTCAGCAAGGAGTGTGTGGGGTCCCCTGACC